CACACACACACACACAGTTTGAAAGCCCTACAGGTCACGTGATAAAGGTGTGGATGTTTATGTGTGTGGGTGGGTGCCTGTCAGGGTCAAACCTGTCGGGCGGTTCCCTCTCCCGGGGTGTCACTCTCTCGCTCTCTCTGCGGCCGGTAAAGCCTTTCATTCGGTAACGGGGATGATGACAATGGCTGAGTGTTAGCGCACTATGGCCGCTCAAAGGAATTACAAGGCCGATCCAAGAAGGGGACTACGTGAAGTAATGTGTAACAAGTCCGGAGCCAAACTGCTCAGCTGTTTAAACCACAAAGGAGGAATTAAAGCGCGCTTCAGCGGCTGTCTTTACTCAAAGTGTGGAGAAGTTTAGCAACTGTCTCGTGAAACTTTTCTTTTTTTAAAGTTTCCTGTGAGGGGTCTCGCGCTCCGGACATGGCTCTGTCCCAGTTACAGTGTCTGGACGACAACCACGTGAACCCGCGGACGCACGAGTCCAAACCGGAGTTCCTGTACTGCGAAGACCAGCGGCTCGCGCTGGAGGCTCTCCTCCAGGATGGTCGCGAGGCGTTTTTTAAGTACTTGGAGACTCGCGGCCTGCGGGGTTTCCTGTCGGACCCGGAGCTGGAAACTCTCACCGGCGCCGTGGAGCCCTATGACCCGGGAACGGAGCTGTACCCGGAGAATGCCGAGGTCGACGAGCCCCCGCTGTCCCTTCACTACTGGCCCGAGCTGTCGGACACGTCCATACCGCACATGGACCTGGGCTGGCCGGACGGCGACTCTTACCGGGGGGTGACCCGCACTACCATGTACTCGCAGCCCCCGCTGGAGGGTCAGACGCACATCAAAGAGATTGTCCGAAAAATGATTGCGCAGGCGCAAAGGGTGAGTTGGGCCGCTGATGGACCAATTTATAAACTTAAGTGTTAATGTATATTGAAGTGTTCAGTCTGTTTAAGCCATAAAGTTAACTTTATGGGGCCGTATAAAGCATGTAAAGCCATAAAATACCCTCCAATTAAACATAAAGTGAGCAGTTGAGGGTGTTTTGCCTCATACTTGGTAATGAAAGATTCATCTCTGTTTGAAATCTTACAAGCTTCTTGGATAGCCTAATAGCTTCTGAATTTGAGGATTTATCAGCCCCTTATTTCTCTGACCTGCTGTACTCATTCAAAAGATTAACTGTAGGCTAATGTTGACATACTGTTACAGTGAGCAGCCATATGGCTCTCAGTCCCTATGAGGTCAGAGTACAGCTGCTGACCAAAAGAGACAGTCAAGAGTAAAGTGCAACTTGATTAAAGAGGTTTTATCAGGGGAAAAGAAGTGCGCACACTTTAACTGAGCCAGCAAGTTGACAGCATATTTGCATGAGTATGTGCATTAAAGCCATGGTGTTATCTGTTTGACTGAAACGTCCTATGGGCATTTTTCTGAGGAGCTTGAAACACGTGATAAAGATGCATGTGTCATATAGATACAGGAGAACATGCTGAGCTCTCCTCAATGACTTGTGTGTATCATATTTGGCTCAAAGCTTTTGAAAACAACTTGAATCTTATTTGTTTTGGCAGAAAAGTAAAGTAATTGTACTCATGTGCCTTCAAGTGTCACTGTGTGCGACGCAAAGGCCAAGGTGACGGCCATCTTGTCTTGTTTTGTCCATAATCCAAAGATATTCAGTTTACTGTCATAGAGGACTAAATAAACCATAAAATATTCACATTTGGACTCAGAACAATTAAAACATTAGCAAAATAGTTGACAACTAATAGATTCATTGACTAATTGTTGCAGCTCAAGTGTACGTATTAGCGTGCGTAAACTGTGCATGTGTCTGTAGGAGAGTTTTTCCTGTGTGTGATTTAGGTTGTGTGTGTTGGTCTGCAGGTAATAGCAGTGGTGATGGATGTCTTCACCGATGTCGACATCTTCAGAGATTTGCTAGATGCTGGTTTCAAGAGGAGGGTTTCTGTCTACATCCTGTTGGAACATACATCGCTACCTCATTTCCTGTCCATGTGTCAGAGGGCCAACATGCACGCAGGACACCTCAAGGTGAGCAAATATCACCCACATTTGTCATAGCGGTCTGATGTTCGGCGTCTAAACGTAAGGCTTAGTTGTACTGAGCAAAAATATTAACCATCATCCTCTGGGGAGCGTACCTAAATGTCATGGCACTCTGGACCCATATTTTTTTTTTCCAGATGTTCGGATAGGCAGAAATAATCACCTCATTTTGAGATTGAAATTGTACAAATTAGCTGTTGAGACAAAGACAATTGGAGTCAAGAGGTTTTCGTTATGCGTGGATAAGTGAAAGCACATGCCATCTCTCTCTTTCTCTTTGTCTCGCTCTCACACATACTACCAGCGACTCTTCCAGCTGGCACTGTATCATACAGGAATCTTTTACCTTGCTTTGTCTCCATAGGCTGATGGGCTGGTTACCATGAAAAGCACAGGTTATAAAACATATTTTGGTCATGATGGGACAGGTAAAAGTGAGCCCCAGGCAAAGTACAACTGTATCATCAGTGCATTGTATTCTTGAGACATAAATCTTTTGATCAAGCTGGCAAGCCACCAAACCATGATTGTTTTCACTCAAGTCTTCCAATGCGAATATCTCAGGTGAACAGCAGATGATTGCACTTTATGCTGGGTGGAAGTCAGACTTGCTTTACTGCTGCCATGTTGTTCCTCCCTCCACTAGGGAGGTCATTTAGAAAATATACATATAATAGATGCAGTGTTGGATCATTTCCACAAAGGCTCCCAGTCTGCTTAACTAATAATGTTCAAAGTGATATTTACTGGCGAGGTATACAACGGTTTATAGATTTAAATAGAAACACATAAAGTAGGTGTGTGGACAGACATATTGACACGCACACACAAACAGATCATTGAGCGCGCACACACACTCACACACACCCTCTGCCAGTTTAAGTCTTGGAAGAACTAAAATGAAACACAAAGGCAGCGACAGCCTGACAGACTTCCAGTGCCAGCTGTATCTGGATTATAAGCAAAACAGCAAAACATTTCCCATGTGGCAGTCTGTGCTCTATGAACAGACGGGGGTTACAGCTCGACTGAGTAGCTGTTTTCTACCTGTTTTATTCTCATGGTGACTGCCTGCTCTTTTAAATGTCTGACCTTTTGTCGTTTTTACTTCCATTCCTAGGGATATCTCTGTCATGGTTTTTGACTCCAAATCCAAGTACAGAGTGCAAACCTGCCTCGAGTAATGCAGCTGCACACTGCACACTTAGCCTCCATATGCCCTACATTTAAATGAGTTAAAAGAAAACTATACAGCCATTTA